GCTGAACCCCGCATTACCTGATTTGATGAGTGACTTGAACAATGTTCTTCAACATTCCTTGTAGCACCATTAAGCATCACTAAACCACCTTCTTCTTCCAAGGAAGACTGAAAACCCATATCTTGATGCAACTCATGCTCCTCTTCATCTGAATCAATGTGGAGCATAGCATTAAGTCTTGTGTCAGTGGGAAAGCTACTTCTTAGTTTTGGGGAGGCCCCAAGTGAACGCTCACTGCCACCAGATGTTCCAGGTCTCGGATGACTGCTGTGTTCTATTGCATCCAGATAGTCATTCAGTGAGTCCTGGCGACCTCTGATAGGTGATGACCTTGAAGTAGAAGAAGTTAATTCCTCCTGGTCTGTTTCTAGAGCCGTACTAGTCCTGAAATGATGCTTTGGTATTGCCTCTCCAGAAGATTCCTCAAGAACTGAACCATTTGAACAAACTGGATGTGTGTCATGATGTCCGGCTGGCATGTCCTCATCATCAGAGGGGCTTCCCAAATCTCCATTTACGGAATTCACTCCTAGCAAAGTACCAACTGCTTCTGGTGAAGCATCTGCCATTAAAAACACAAAGACTGGAATTGAAATCCATGATGCCTCCAGCAGGTTAATTCTAACATCATTGTATAACATGAATGATATATAAACATACATCTGTTAAGCTGTGCATTACCTTCATTCAAAATAGCTAAGTGAAAAAACTGCAGTGAATTCTATCTAGGCTTCTATGATATCATACTCTAAAAAAAAAACCTGCTAAGTATTGGCCGTCATGAATAATTTGGATTTAATCTACTTTGTGGGGTAAAGCAAACCTAATAAACCTGAAGTATCACCACAAAGAACATCCACCCTGCTCTAAGAGATGCAAGCACTTTGCCAAGAATCTTGTAAAAACTGCTCTGACAACCACCACATGGAAGGTAAGAAACAGTTTTCTAAAGTTTGTACTCCTGTATCCAAGATGAGGCTCTACAGTGGGCCAGCCACTGACATCGACTGCAATTTTTCTCTTATAGGCAGGCTATTATGACCAGTGCCCAAAATTTTAGGAAGAAGCCACAAACTACAAAAAGATCACCTTCTGTGTAGAATACACTTTAATATTTTTCCCTTTAAAGAAGGGAAATCTAGCTAAAGGTTCTGTGGGTGCTTTCTGGGGTATTGCAATAAACATTTTAAGGTGGAATATTGTTTTTCTGAGTTTTTTAGGACATGATATAGAATGTAATGAAAGAGGAAACAGATCAAACATTTCATCCTAACAATTGTTTAGGAATGAATATTACTTTCAAAGGTGGGGGCATGTAACAGGGGTCCTTCTCAGGGCCGATCTAACTGTGGCCCACCCACCTGTTTCTGGGCTAACCGCCCGCCTTCTCACCCACCACACCTTGTTGGAATTAATTAGTTCATTGATGTAATTAAGTGGGAGGCTGCCCATTTCCTGCCCCGATGCCAGGCCTGATGCCAGGGGTTCCATTCCTCCCCTACACCGCAGCCCAAGCCTCGCAGATGGCATCTCAATGTTATCATCATCACCGGCCCCCACACTGGGCCCCAGAATCCTCCTAAATGAACCCCACCTGGATTCATCTCCTCAGGTGGTTTCATCCGCCTTCACACTGGGCAGCATAGCTCCCTGAACTGCTTCCCCTCCCGGGTGTGGTCCCCCCGGGACCTTCAGCTCACTAGCCCCAGCCCACCTCCAGGCCAGCCGGAACCCCAGGCCCTCGGCTCTTGGGCGTTCCTCACGGTGGCCCCCCCGGCCCTTTGACCCTTCTGTTCCTGGCCCCAGCATGGACCAGTCAGGGAAAGTCCAGGCAGGCCTGAGTCTATGGCCTTTTCTCTCTCTCCAGGGGTCCACCCTCCAGGCCCTCCAAACAAAGGGGTAACCCACCCAGTTGTAGAGGCAAGGGGTTAGGGGCCCTGACCCGCCTTTCACCGGGGTGGTAACTGGCCTGGTATTTCCTGGGGGCTCCCGCACCACTGGGAGCTCCACCAGGCCACCCACTCTCAGCAGGGTGCAGTGTTTTAGGTCGTACCCAGGACCAGCAGCCTCCTATCCTTCCCCTACAGCTCCTCCCTTACCTCCAGATGATACCAGGAGCCCTCCGGCCAGGCAATATTGTTGCCTGGCCCCCAGCAGCAGAACTGTCCTGCTTATATGGGCTGCCCTCGGTTCAAAATGGCTGCGCTCATCAGGCACCCGGCAGCTGCCAGCTCCAGGCCCTTGCAGTGGCAGGCACAAACAGTGCCCTGCCACAGGGCATTATGCAAGCAAGAAGTCGATAGGTGCAGTAATGCCAAACTAAGGCTTATACTAGATAGATCAGTAATACACTAATACACTAAGATAACTTGGCATCTACTAATAAAGAAATTGCAAATGAATTGGATGAGAGGCAAGCTAAGAGCACCGAAGTACATTTAAAAAAAGATAACACAATGAGAGAAAAAAAACATTAAATAAAAATAGACAGCATCTCAAAACTGGCGTTTGAACTATCTAAAACAACATCTTTCCTTTCAACGATCACTGTATACAAAAAAAAGAGAGTAATAGGCAAGCATAGTAAATAATAACTTTTTTTTTTTCTAACTGACCATCTGAAAACACAGGTCCTTTTGTAAACCTCACCTTCATGAATGGAAGATGTAATCTCCACTTTGAACTGCAGATACCCACTTACATGGTCAGCTGGGAGCCTTCTGCCAAGATTGTAGCTGAGAATTTGGTCTCTGTAAAGAGAAAATGTGTGTGTATGCATGTATGTATTATGTATGTATGTATATTCACAAAAGGTAAATAGTTCTCTAGATTTTTTACCATCCTGTTTTTAACTGTCAAAGTTTTAATCTGTCATGTTCATGTCAGCAAGACATAATGCAATCAAATGTTTTAGCCATGAATTCATAGAAATGGGCCTCATCTACTACCTTGCAGAGATGCACAAATACCATGCACTTCCTGAAAGACTAATAACCATCATGTAAAACAGTGGAACAAACTACTGTTTCCAAGTAGCAATCATGTACCAGCAGCTTTCATCCTCCGCAAATCTTTTCAGAATTTTGAAAGGGAGAACATTTTAAAGGAAAAAATATTTTTTAAATTTCTAAGTTTACAAAAAAAAATCAATTATTTCATTACTTGAAAGATAAATGCTAGAAATATTCATTTTGTTAGGCCCAAGTTAAAAAAGCACTTAGATGCACACCTAACTTTAAGCTAGTGCTGACCAGGAACCAATTTAAGCACAGTTCTTAATGCATGGGATTAATGTTAAACCTATTCTAAATCAGAGATTTCACTGAGACTCAAACATGGGTTAATTGTTTTACTGAGACAAAAGATGAGATTCTGTCCAATGTACTCCAATAAGCATCCAAAAGTCAGTCCACAGTCTCCTCCAGCATAATTCAGACAGCCCATGCATGGGCATGTCAACATAGGACAGTTTTATCACTTATGTCAGTACAGGTACATGGGTATAACTCCCCATGAGGGCACTCTGTAGTGGTATAAATAGCTTAGCTTTAATCTCTTCCCAAGTGATAGTAGGCAAAAAAGAAATTAAAAAGGCCACCTGCATACTGGAATAAAAGAGGACTCACAGGATAAGTTATACTGGCAAAACCATAGGGGTTTAAATTCAAACTTTAGGTTATAGCAAAATACCTTGTGTAGACAAGGTCTAAATTAAAGTGGTCACCCCCTGGCTACTTTATCCACCAAAATGCCAACTGGAATACTCCACTGCTGGTGCTGCAGCTCTATTACACTACTAAACCCAATCAAGCCTCCTTTGCCAGGTAGAGGGAAGTGGAATGGGGCTGGGAGTTTTGACTGTCTCCTACAGTTTGTGCTCAGCATTGCTCAGCAGTTTGTGCTCAACATTGCTTCAGCAATTTGACCCAGTATATATGGGCTGGAGCTGTAAGGGTCACAGCTTTAATGCCTAAGAGAGCAGGCCATGAAACAAACCACTTCTGCTGTGTGTTCAGTCAGCCACTATTCTCCACAACAGCTATACAAAATTCCCAACTGGCAATTTTTGTACACAGATATGCAGGGTCAGGGGGCAAATCCTTTGATTCCTGCTCCACCCAAAGTTTAAAACCAAGTGCTTGGCAGTGGCAGCAGCATTTCTAGTCAGGCAGTACTGGGGGAGTCAACTGACTTCATGGCTCATTATAATCTAGCTGATCCCTTCTGAACTCTTCCTTCCACAGGTGTTAATGACCCGCTCTTCTTTATAATGGTCTTAATGTTCCACTAATCAACCTAACCTTTGTTCTTTAATTCTGCTTTCTGTTAGCTGCTCTTAGTAATAGCTCCCACTTTAGTCCTAAAATTGTTTCCAACTCATTCCGGTGAAGTTATATTTGTTTTAATTCAACATTGCCCTGGGCCCCTAGCATAGTAGTAAAGCTCCTAGTTTATTTTTAACTGGAGAAAAATACATGTTATTTCATATGTGATGATGCACCTCGCCATCTGCAACCCCCTTTTCATATGCTGGGTACTGATGAAGCTATCTGACTGCTAGAATTGGGGCTCACTCTAAATCCAGATGAGACCTAAACTAACACAACTTATTTAAAGAATGGCAAGTTCCAGGCTTTGAGCACTCTTATTTCCCTGACTCAAAAGCAGCATTACTACTATAAGGGGGAAAATGAACTAGTTATGGTTTTCTATGAAACTCCTTCTCCAATGCAAAAAAATGAAATATTTCTGTGTGCTGTTCAAGCCAGAACCAAGGCCACATACATTGAAAATAAAGAGTTTTGCTCAATAGCAAAAGTACAATGTACGTATATTTGATACATTCCACAAAAAACCTCAACTTATACAATTCATTGGAACATACCAGAAAGTGTAATCAGAAAGAAAAAAGATATATACCTTTGGGCAATATGTCATTTAATGCACTGTTAGACATTTGATAGAAAATAGACTAAGTTAATAATTAAAGATTTTCATTGAAAAGGATTAATTAATTAGATTTACAAACGAACTTATTTCAGCCCTGTAGTCCTCTGTGTTTACAACAGTAAACATAATAGTATGATATAATAGTGAATCAGGACCTTAAGATTTAATCAGGAAAATGGCCAAAATAGTTAATTCCCAGGAAAATGCTTTTCTGGTAAGAAAGCACCTTCAATGGATTTGTCTGTTTTCCTCTACCATATTACAGCAAGATTAAATTATGAGTTATTCATTGAGACAGACAACATAAATCTAGGTCACATAGGTATAAAAAAGCAGTGTAATACCCCATCTGAAATGAGAGTATGCTCCACTTGTGCAAATCTTGGTTGCCTTTTTCTATATGAAGGGTTTGTACTCATTCAGCTGCAGCAATATCTGAAACTGAGGCTAACTCTAAGTGAAACGAAGGACAAAATTAACACAACCTGTTTACAGACTAGCAGCTCCTAGACTTCAGCCTATATTGTAGTGAATTAACAGTAGCATCCCTCAAAACTAACCAATATGCATAGACACAGGTTTAGAACTGAAAGATTGCATGATTATAGTTATTAAAGTTTCAAAATGGACTTTTATTCTGCATTCAAATGGACTATAAAGATCAGTGAAAATTTGGTTACATGTATTCCTATGATGTAATGAGGATGAAGCTTTACATAAACCAAGTAAATAGCACAACTCTGTATTCGTGAAAGAAAAATACAAAATAAAATTGAGTCGCTAATAAAGCCAATAAGCCAATAGCATACATGGCCCAGGCTTCAGTACTTGAACTTATGCATTTTTTAAAGTTGATTTTTTAAAATTATTACAGAAAATAATATCCACATCTTCCCCGCTTGTTGTCATGACGAGGAGGTTAAAAGAGATTACATTTTAATTGCCTGTCAAAAAAATCATGCCTAGTTTTTCTATAATTAGGGTACTTTGTACTTTAATGTTATGTTGTAGATCTTTTCTGTTCAGTCTGTTTCATCTAATTTATGCATCATGACCTACTTTGTAAGATTTCTGAGGAAGAGGCTGGGCCATGATCACTGATTGGTGCCCCTGGACACTACTGCATTACAAATAAACAACATCATCATCCTTGATAAGTGGACAAAATATCAGCATTAATTTTTCAGTGAACTAAATTGAATATTTACTTATATAATTCTTACATATATGCATATTCCATAATCTTCTCCCTCCCTCAAAGATTCTGAGATATTTTAGTTGCAAGTTCGGAAGCTAAAACCAAAAATGTTTTCCAAAATTTTTGCTTGCAAAATGTACAGAAAAGATGTCTGTACGTATAGATAAACACAACAAATGTAGGTAGTTGCCAGACTTCACACAACTACAAAATAGTGTAGCTGGAACATTTTGGTGTTACTGTGCAAATAAACACACAGAGCAGAGCTCTGAAATTTGCCAATGGTTCACTTGTTCATCAGTGTGCAAATTTAACAAGCAAAAAACACTTACCGCATTATCTCATCTTTTATTTAAACTCAGTTTTAATCAAATCTGAATCAAACTACTGTGCTAAACAAACATAGCAGTTCAAAATGATAATTAGAACAGTGTTTTGCAAACCTTGTGGGTTTATGCCCCACCAAAATAGTCATGCAGCCCTGTACTTAGGCTTGCCATCTTGTCTTTGCTTACCTCCCTACTGGTTACCCCACTACTGATTGTTACTGATTCTTCCCTCTCTGGCAGTCAGTGACAATTGCTGGTGAGGGGAACTGCCTTGGGGAAAGCAGCAGTAGTGGCTGAAGTTGGGGCGTGTCAGTGGCTGAAGTACGGGGCAGCTGCTAACTGGCACCGTGATTCGCATGTGTCCCATCCCTGTTGCCCCAAGAACCAGTTGCATCCCCCGCCATGGTTGTCCACAGTTTGGGAAATGCTGAATTAGACAATCAAATTGTTTCAACTTAGCATTTCTTAGGAAAGTCCCTTACATGTACCTGGGCTACTTTTGATACTATTATAAAGTGTATGAACAAACCCTTTTTAAATATATTTAGTCAACAGAAGCACCATCAAAATTTTGCTATTATTCAAACATCATCTTTTTTTTTCTTTTTTTTAACTTACATGCGTACCCACTACTTACGAAGCTTAAAGATGAAAACTACTTTCAACCTGAATTTGCTTTGCTCTATGAATACAAGTTGCTACATATTTGGTGGAAATATTTTTGAAAAAGGGAGCTGCATGTTAGCTGTTGTGCAGAAGCACAATGACACTGCCTTGCCATTGAAATTCTTGAAAAGAACATCTCATTCAATGCCTACTTGAGGTCAACGAAAGGACTCGCATAGGCTTCAGTGGCCCTATACAAAACATGCTTTACAGTTCAGCTCCTCTCTTATGTTCAGATGACAGATGTTGTCATCTTGTTTTATGACCACTTAATTTACTATATGAACATTTAGGATCCTGATAAAATAAATACTATACAGAATTTTTTCATACATTTATATTTTATTCACTGCATATACTACTATACGAAGAGCAGGCCCACTGCCAAACAACAGTCACTTTCACCTGACTCACATGAAGCTCAAGTTTTCTGACCGACACCTCTGGCTTTCATCCTTCCTTCATTTTCTGACTACCGAATTCTAGAGCTTTTGTCATAGTGCGTTGTACTCTGAGCATGAACAAGATTTGATAATAATTTGGTCAATACCAATAGTCACTTTAGGCCAAAAGAACCTTTTAGGACATCATTTTAAATGGTTTTGCATCTTTAAAATAGTACAGAAATCTAAGGAGATTGTCAAAAAAACCTTTCAATGACACAGTAGATTAATTTTGGGGCCCATCAAATTTCAATGTTACAGCATTACACTCAGAAAAAGAACCTACATAAACCTTTCAGTTCTACCCAGTTAGTTAAATCAATGTTAAATTTCTATAACTGAGGATTAGAAATGCTTGTATTGTATAAAAAAAATCTGCTTGTTCTAAATATTTGTATTCAACTCCATTGCTTTAAATAACTAACTGCCTTATTACTCTTTGACGTACTAGCAACAAGTTAACACCTTTGATGCACAGAAAATAAATTATAGGCAAATCACACAGAGTCAAATTAATATAAAAAGCTAAGAAATGAGAACATATTCTATAATAAGACTGAAAAAAGGTTAACTTCCCGCTATGGCAAGTCTATGGTATTTGATCAAAATTAGTCATGGAAAAATTGGTTTGTGACTATATCACAGGTAGTGATCCTCCTGACTAATAGAATGCTTTGTTTACTGTTAGTTTTATGATTTACCCTATTGCATGTCTCTCCAATAGCCTCTGGACTGGGATGGTTAACTTCCCAAGAAAGCGCTTGATGATAGGACGACTCTTGGCAAATTTGTCTTTAATTTCAATCTCCAAGACATCTGTTAGAAGTGCAACAAAAGAATATTTCTGCAAAGAAATAACAGATTTGACAGGCTATCAGGATACCTCTGTTCAACAAGAATGGATATTTACACCACCACCTGGCAACAGGCAACACAAAGAGATAATTACTGCTAATTACATCTGTTTCCATATTACAAAATTATGCCAAGATAATAAAGTTATTCCTTATTTCCCTTCAGAAAGAATAAACTGTAATTTTTTTCTATATCACTATAATGTTTCACTCTTCAAATGACAATTTGATAAAGCATCAGTTACCTGCTCAGGAACAGCTTACATCATCTATTTAAACATCCATTAGCCTTCACCCTTGGGATTTTCAATACAAATGACAATCTGACCAGAATACCTAAAACACAGTATACTTCTATGGCTAAATAAATGTCAATAGGGAACAAAACCTAGATGTTTCACTACAGCTTCATCTGACTTTAATTGTTGAATGTGTCTGATTAGCATACAGAATAGAAAACCATTGTCTCACCCAGTCTATCATCAGGATCAAGCTTTCCTGTGATGGACAGAACTTAAATGCTGTTACTATCAGTTTGCTATAATAAAATTGCAAATTTCCTAAGGGAAGGAAGGAATCAATTCTGCACCACATACAATACAGTGCAGCATGTGCATTATAATTATATAAGGGTATTATCAGTATCTTGTTACAGAGAAGAACATATCAGTTAAAGGCATGCTGACATAATATATTCTCCAGTGATTATCACTTTGATAAAAGCTGCAAAAGCAAGCAACTAGAGGGCAAGGGAATAAAAGAAAAACTCGACTACTTTTTATTAGAAATAAAGGAAAGTGCATGTAGTAAAAGTATGTCTACAACATTTCTGGATCATGTTTGGGAGTGCTACAGTGGAACATGGTACACTCGGCTTGTGTGCACCTTAATAAGGATGTTTATAAGGCTGTTTACAATAATATTGGCATGCACCCAGTGAACTAGCTCAGGTGTAGTTATCACTATATACCAAGTACCATACTAAGGCAGCAACATTGCATTTGTTTCAGGGGGTAGCATGGGGGAAGTAGGCATATTGTATTTTATTGCAGTGCTTCCTAGAGTGGTCTGGAGGCAGTGTAGGGATGTCTTTAGTAGCTAAACCTCTTACTTTGAACTCAGCAGCAAGTAGACTCTGTTAAACCATATCTGTTAAAGTGTATCTGTGTATCTATTAAAGATGTTAGATTGGTATCACTGATGGAAATGTGTATTATTTATCCAGAAAATAGACAGTTTTGTCATTGATCATACTCTGACAACCACTGCACCTTGTTCCAGTTTACTGCAACCTTATTTCAGCTATGTTCTCTGACAAGATTATCCACACCCCTTGTAGCTTTGACTCTGTTAACACTCAGATACCAAATATAGCGGGGGCACATACCTAGTGGAAAGCAGATTCAGCCCATCAACTTGTTTCACAAGAGCTACCAAATGGCCATCTAACAGGTCCAGGTTTTGGTTACTAAAAGGTATTAACTTAAATATTATTTCTCACTTAAGATTTTCTTTTTGACACAGTTTTGCCATTCTGCACTTGTTAAAGACTGAGTTGTTTCAGTGTCTGCTCTGACACAAGTAGAAATAAATTCGAAAAGCCAGCTTTTGTCAAGCTGTCTTCCTCTTGCTAGATGGTGCTATAATTCCTCCCTTGACTAATCCTTCTACAGGAACCATGTACTTTAAAGAGCATCCCCTCTGCCTGACAATAAACCAATCTGTAAACTTGCCAGTTGCTACAAGCTACAGAGAGGAGCATTTCTCAATGAACAATAGCTGGAATCACTGCCCAAGCTAAGTCAAAACATGAATGCTCACTTATTGTGTCTTAAGTATCCTCACACCATATAATCCATTCTAATTAATTTAGTCCTTTATTTCAAGGAATCCACAGGACTACTGAGTGATTCCAAATCTTGCCAGCAGCAGAGGGAATGAGCTGCTCACAGCAGTATGGTTCAAACATATTATAAAAGGCAACTGTTCCTACCCAACAACAGGGTTCCTGCAACTACAACAATATCTAAGTACATTTAAATAATCAACTGCAAAAATAGCTCATAGCATCAGACAGGACCAAAACATAAAAAGAAACAACTACTTGGGTGAACTATTGCACCAGCAGGCAGAAGGAATTCTAGAAAAGGCATGTTACCTCTCTGTGCCAAACAGGATTAGTTGTGTTACTGATGATAGTAGACCGTCTTTCCTGACCATGATGGGCAAACGTAGGGAATGTACTTTTCTTCCCTGGTTGAATCGACATCTTTAGGTAAGGATCAGGGTTGAAGAACATCCCCTTTTTTAGCCCAACTGCCCTAATATCTTAAGAGAAAGGAAGAAAAAAGAAACAAAGTAATTAAAACAGTTCACAAAAATGTCATATTCCTAAAATACAACCTTCGGCTCATGATGAATGGCAAGTAAACTAGCATATAACTATGTAAGCTATGCCTAATTAGACATAATGCATAGAATCTGCTAAGGCAGGAAATCCGAGAGCTTTCTTAACAGACAGTAAAACTGGGGGCATCATTTCCTCAATTTGTGATCTAGCCACGTAATTTAATATAATGCACAGTGTCATTAAAAAGTAATGTAAATGTAAAACACGTTTTGGTAATATATCCCCCTATCCCTCTATTTCTGGATTAAAAACAAAAGCTTCATGTGAAGTAGACTACCGACGCATTATTTTTCAGGGTTACTACACTAACAAAACATACACTAAATATTTATAGACAAGATGATGCTCTGGGCTAGGATGTACAGCTGGTCACAGCCCAGAGCAAAAAAAAAAAGTCAAACATTCCAGAGAAAAAAAGACATTTTTTTTAGCATGCTTTTTTTCCACGTACGGCTTCCTCCAGCTCTGGAAACAATGTCCAGCACCTTTTGCCAACTATAATAGCAAGGAATAATTTTCTTTGGCCACAACGCATGCTTACATACATTAATGAACCAGGGTTTTGAGTCTCAAAGGGCAAAACAAAAGTGGCACTTCTAGCACAATGAGCAATTTTAATCTTTATTTTCAATATTTCTCTTTTCAGATTCCCTGAAGCCACAGATTTCTGGGTCCTTCTCAATGAGGAATTCTAGCCTGTAGTAGCAACCTCCATGAACCTCACTATATCTGGCATGTGCCAAATCAGAGTTTGCACAGAGAAAATGTACTGCCCTAAATGAAAAAATGCACTTGGATTGGATTTAAAAACCTGGCCAAATATAAAAAATAAGTTTCAAGAGCAAGGACAGACCATAAACTATGGTTCCATTTTAGGAACAATTTATTCAGGTGCTCTATCATGACTTTATCATCTGAACTATTGAAACACAGTTTCTTTCTAGGAGGGAGCACCACTGATATTTTGAGAGAGGCCCCTTGTAAATGGTTACCCACCAACCAGGAATAGCCATCCGTGCATGAAGAGAGTAGAACTTGTTAGTAAGGAAAAGAGACTTTACTGGTTTCCCCAGTTTTTAAAAATCTATCCAGAAGATTTATTTTAAATTAATCTGAATGTAGACACAGATTGTGAATATGCAGGAAACTAATGCCCGAGGCAAATTTTTACTACATCAAAACATTTGATTTTGTACTGATTTATTAATACAGTAATATAAATGTAGGATATCCCTAAGATTTTTTTTTTTTTACAAATACTTATTTGTTTGCCATCCTTAACTCCAAGCAATTTAAAGTGGGATTAACTAAACATATTTTATTAAAGTGGTTTTTGAAAAGCTGGGTAGCAACTTAAAGCCAGACATGCATTTTGAAAGAAATCTTTTGAAATCAAGAGGGCATGAAGCCCTATTAAGTCAAGATGGTATATTAATGGGGAAATCAAACAATTAATTGCACTTTGACAAGTTTGCACTGATTTTCCATTTCCTTTCTTGGAAACGTTTGTGTCTGAAAAATGTTGCTCATGCAAACATTCAAGAAAAACATTTTTTTTCCGTCTACCACCAACATTTGTTTCAGGACAATAGACCTGAGGCTGAAGAAACAGACTTCATACTTTTCCCAGTCAGTTTGCCCAAAGAAGACTTCAGTCTGCAAACTGCCATATTCTCTGCCTGCCTGACCAGAAGTGCAGAGGTGGGTCATACCAGTAGCAGCATCCTATTCTGGTTTCTTCTCTGCTGAGGTCCCCTTTGTTCATTAGACTGCTAATGATCTATTTAAAAGCCTTTTTACTGAAGTAGATTAATTAACATCAGAGAGGGCCATAATGGCTGAAATGCTGTAATTACCCACATTGATCTTTGATGGGAATATTTAGTAGGAATCGATCACAATGCCACAGCAGAGAGAAGGGAAAAGGCCATCCTGGTGTAGAAGACTCAGTGTGTGAAATTAGAGTGTGAATAAGCATTTGCAGGATTCAGGATTAGGTGGCATAGTACAAGCCTTTGCCACTTGCCCAGAGAGACACAGGCAGACTGACGTAAGTAAAAGGGGGCAGGGAGAGGGGTTGGCATTCGCAATCTAGCTTGGAATAGCTTGGTCAGGGTTGTGGAAGTAAGAACAGACCAGCCCCAGGCCTGTGGCAAGTAGCTGGGTTCATCTCTGAGGTGAACTAACTTTAGACAAGGCACCCCACTGTTAGGGTGACCTAAGCCCTGTGAATGCTTGCAAACTGGGGCATTGAGATCACCCATTTCTGCCATGTAGATGAACCACTGAGCAGTAGGCTGCTCAAAATTTTGCCAGGTGTTTCATTTTGACACTATTTTGACTCATTTTGAGCTCGAAGCAGCAGAACTGAAATGAAACGAAAGGTTTCAGAGTAGACTCGAAACGAAACAAGGGCAGTCGAAACATTTCAAAAGTTTCAAAATGTTTCAAGTTTTGAAGCTGGGCTTGCTTGAGGGAAACAGAAACTAAGGAGAGGAAGGGGGAAGAGGAGGGAAGGACCCCTCTGATATTGACCGTGTAGCTGGCTGGTGACTGTGATCCTTCCCTGAGGTCCCTTCCAATCCCATTGCTCTAGGGAAGGGACAGAAAAACAGCTGCACCTTAACAGCACACACAGTCACATGTCATGAGTTTTGCTTGTCAGCAGCCTGAGGTGCAGTTTCCCAGAAACCCCTGCACCTATCTCCTTAAAACTTGGCAGGCCTCATGCCCTCAGAAGGGGCTACCATCCCTGCTGTTTTCATCCATATCTGCCAGGAAATAACGAATTTTTAGGCAGTTTTGTGCTTCCCCATTATAGCCTATGGGCAAAACAGCGAAACAGTTCCAACAATGTGAAACAGAACAGTGCTTCAAAACGAAACTGGAAACAAAACATTGTCCTTTCGAAATGTCAAAATGAAAGTCGAAACGAAACAGTGCCATTTCGCACAGCCCTACCAAGCAGGTACTCTGGAAACAGTAAGCGCCATACACAGCCATCTGCCCTCTTGGCACCTCACTAGTAAGAACTTTGAGGACTAAAATATCACATGAGCAAATCAAAATAGCACCACCTGTAATTACTTTACTGATGCTAAAGTTTTCAAATCAAATGAGTAAGCAAGGCATGGAAGATGAGAAAAAGCAATTTCATTCATTAAAATTCATGAGTGTGCAATCATGGAACTAAACTTGATAAAGCTCATGTTCAAGCATAAAGCATGCGTCTGGCCATCACCTAGCCAGCGAGACTGAGTGTGGAGCTCCAAATGAGCTCTCTGCAAAGCTAGAGACAGAAGTTACACATAAACCAGTTTAAGTCATCAGAAACTGGTTTAAACCTGTAACAGAACTTAAGTTCAGTGCACATAAACCATGTTCAAAATGGCTGAAACTGGTTTGAGATAAACCTGGTTGAATGTAGTATCAGACTTAACTGATTTGGGTCAAACCAGTTAATGAAACTTCTGTCCCAGACCCCTTCCTGGCTCAAGTTAAATCAGAGTCCCCTAGGATCCCAGCATGCTTTCCAGCCCTGGGCTGAGCTAGGCTGTCTGCTCCAGCAGAGAAGGGTTGGGTTGAGTGGGGGAAGGGGGAAGAGAGAGAAGCAAGGACTGCCCCCACCAGGCAAACCCTGGCTGGGGGCTGGGGCCTGGGAGGGGGGTTAAATTCTCTTTTTCCCTGAGTACAGAGCTTCCCTGCCCTGCTACACTTATTGAAAGTTACTGCAAACTGTGACTGTGGACTAAAATCCCAGAGGTACCTGTAAGCATGAAGAGCAAGTGATGAGCGACCCTGCAGAGTCCTGCTTCTGTGATGCTGAGGGCAAGAAAACAGGCCTTATGATGAGAGGCTGAGAGCCATGGGACTCTTCAGTCTGGAAAAGCGCAGGCTCAGGAGGGACCTGGTGGCGGACTATAAGTATATAAGGGGTGTACATCAGGATCTGGGGGAACGGCTGTTCACCAGAGCGTCCCATGGGATGAGAAGGTCTAACGGTCATAAACTTCTCCAAGACTGTTTCAGGCTGGACATAAGGAAGAACTTCTTTACTGTCCGAGTCCCCAAGGCCTGGAACAGACTGCCTCCAGAGGTGGTGCAAGCACCTACTCTGGACTCCTTTAAGAGGCAATTGGACATATATCGCTAGGATCCTGTGACCTCAGCTGACTTCCTGCCCTTGGGGCAGGTGGCTGGACTCGATGATCTTCTGAGGTCCCTTTCAGCCCTAATGTCTATGAAAAAAAAATCCCAGAGACCTCAGGGGCAGCAGGAAATGCCAGAGCCATGCTCTAGTGCTCCCTGGCTTCTGGTCATAGCTACTGCAGGCATGTGGCTGCATTTCCTGAACCAAAGGTAAATGTGTCCAGTTGCTTCTCAGTTAAATCTTTGCAGCTTAGACTAACCTACAAAGATGGAATTGAGTCAATTTCAGGCTTTTTGACTGTCTGTACTTAGCCCAAGTCAGGGGTAAGGGAGGAAAAGACAACCACAGCCGTACCAAGCTGACAGCATAGGAACTAGGTATATTCTCATTGTGATCAGCAGCCTGCTAGAATGTACAGTGAGTAGTAGTAGTAGTAGTATTAGTAGTAAGAGGTTGAACAAGGTTGAGTCTCAGTGGTGAGGGAGAGAGGCAGACCATTGTTGCTTTGAGACATAGATTTCACACACTGTGGGTGCAGCATAATGGGCCAAGTCCAATTTTGAGAGTTATAGGCTAGAAGTTTGCTGCCCAGAGAGACTGATTGTTCCCATATGCTGTCAGCACTCTGTTGCTCTCAATTCTGCAGAACCGTGCAACATTATTTAGAACCGTGCAACAGGAGATGACAGCAAAGTGGTGACAAAAAGAGCAAAGAGGAATAAGGAGTTGTACTGAAGCAGCGAGAAGAAGACCTGCTGCTACACACTC